AATACAAAATCGTGCCGCACGCTTCGTCCTGGGCCAGTACGACCGTTTTTCTAGTGTAACTAACATGAAACAATCACTAGGATGGGCGTCATTGAATCTTCGGCGAAAAAATTTACGGTTGAAATTTTTATACAACATTTATCATGAAGCTACTGGTATTAATAGCTCATCATACCTCTTAAAACCAAATTATTTTTCCAAACGTAATGATCATGTGCACAAGATACGCGAATACTGTACTAGGACGGAGCTCTGCAAAAATTCGTTTTTTGTGAGGACGGTCAAGGACTGGAACGCTTTACAGGAATGTATAGTTTGTGCTGCAAATGTTGATATGTTCTTTTCGTTATTATTCGCCCCCTGCAATAATGCCTTCTAGGCGCTGCAGGAGTTCCCTGAATAAAGAATAAAGAATATGGATCTTGCTGGCCGTTTTGAGTTATCTGCAATTAATGTTATGACCTGAGTATTTTGTAGCTTTAGTAAAGTTGTAAGAGTATTTGGTAATATGTATTAACTATGATGGATTGTAGCCTGTAGGTCATACTTTTGTTTTTGTTTATAGATTCCCAGCAAGAAGATCCATGGATTCCAAGATTAAACAGTGGTAAATTTGGGCAATAATTTATAGTGCAGCAGTCTAATGTGACAGTCATGTTTTATATGTCATAATTGGCCTGTTGCTCACACAGAATTCTTAGGCCTGTCCAGTACATGTATGCTATGATATGCTGAGCATTCTTGACTCAACTTGCAAAAGTATTGATAAGAAAATGACTTACAATGGATAACCTATCCACAACTTTACCCAGTGTTACATTTAAAGTTCAATACTTGAGGGACACATATGTTTCAGGCTGCATACCACATCGACACGTCCCGGAGGCAAGTGTGCAGAGAGCACGAGCAACACCTCCCAATCTTCCAGCAAGCTTGGCCAGAGGACCCCCAGAAGTGCCCAACACTGAGCAGCTAGATTCGCCCCCAAGGGATCCCCCAAGTATCCTCCCAACAGATGACCAGCCCAGGAGCTTCCAAAGAGCCACCTCGGGATCCCCATCAGCCACAGGTAAAGTAGCCAAGTTGACTAGGCACCAGTGTTGTTTTAGTGCTCTTTTCAATATTTTGGCTAACTTATGAAATCTTGGCCTCTCCTCAGTGGATGACCCTCAGGCTGCGGGTCATGCTCCTTTTACTGACGTCGGTGGTGGCAGGGTAAGCACATAATTAACATGTATTCAAGGTCGCTTCTAAATGATGTTTCTACTACTTCTGTAGTTCCACTTGAAAAGGGGCCTGACGGTTGACAGCAAGCAAGCAAAGAAAGCCTTGGGACAGACGAAGCCAGCGCTAGTAGCAAAGGACATATCACAAGCAATTTGGGGTCGTCAGGGGCTGTCCGAGCGAACCTATGGGGGTAAATTAGCCCCAAAAGACTATTACAAGTCTGGTGCCACTGCAAGGAAGGAGATGACCCCTGAAAAAGTGGCCCTGGTGATTGGTAAGTTTGCACATATTTTTTGTATGTGTGATCTGTGCATAATACACTTTGCTTTCTGCTGTCTTGCAGAGACAGTGACATACTGGGGATCCCGAACAGGAATATCTGTGACACACGCCCTCAAGAACATGTCAACTATTCTGTCGCAAAAAATCCAAGATGTGCGCAAGAGCATGAGGCGTTTGGACATGTGAATTGAGCAGAGGCGGGGATTTAAAACAGCTTTTTGTGAGTTAAGACTCGTTCACACTCTTGCAACCGAGTACGACTGAGAGAGACAAGACCGGTTTTTAATCCTCTTGCGACTTCTTAGGACCAGGCGCGCTGCTGCGGAGCTGGTACTAAGAAGTTGCAAGAGGATTAAAACCGGTCTTGTCTCTCTCGGTCGTACTCAGTTGCAAGAGTGTGAACCAGCCTTTAGGAGTAGGAATGCAATTGTGCTGTAAGAGCTACAAAAAATGCAAACCTTTCAGTTCAGAGCACTGTTCGCCCATGCCTAGTTAGGGGGTCTCTACGGAAGATGCAATATGAACAAGGATAGAGATAAATGGGAATATTGAAGGTTTACCCCTGCACATATCAGTTAAACCTAGAACACCTTTTTTTTTAATTCTGCCATATGTGAAAAAAATGTGTATTACGCCGCTTTTCTTTGGCATGTACAGTTGGAAACAAAAGTTTCCGGACCACAGGAGCTGTGGCAGATTTGCATTGCTGCGCCCTCTCATGACTCGGCACCTGGCGTCGAGACCGGCGCTTAGCGCATGCGCATCCTGCGATGCTTGCAGGGATGCCGGTTTCCTCGTCTGCAACTCCCGCGCTCCGATTGTTGACAACCTGTCACATGATGCTGCTTCAGAAGCAGCAGTGGTAAGAGGTGCCCGTGAATCAGCGGAGGAAGGATTCGCAGATCTTACCAGCTTTTACGGTGGCGTGCCTTTTTCGCCAGCTCTTTTCACTCAACCCAACTAGTATCCATTGCCAGTGAGAGCATGCCTTCCTGGACGCCGTCTGAATGTTATTGCTTATTATGATAAACTTTATTTTTACATTTAATGTTTCCTTACCTGAACTGATAAACAGTAAAGGATGTAGCAGCAGCGCCACGCGGCATTTTACCAACAATCGAGGCACGGGAGCCGCAAGCGAGGAAATCGGCATCCCTGCGAGTATGGAAGAATGCACAGAGCCAAGCACCGGTCTCAACGCCAGGTGCCGAGTCATCGGAGGGTGCAGCAATGTAAATCGGCCACAGCTCCCGTAGTGTGGAAACTTTTTTCCCAGACTGTACCTATCCTGCAAGCATTATTCTATCCCAATTACCAGTTTGATGTCTCCTGATTTGATATGTTTATTTGAAGTGTTTCCATGTAGATGCATTGTTTAGTGAACAGCTCTTGGTTTTAATAATGTGACAGTTAGTGTCTTTTGTTCATTTTCGTGAATGAAGGTAGACAGGATTTTGTTTTTATATCCTACTTTAGATAGTTTAATTATATTCACTCTGTGATTCTTGACGCTACCATTGTTGAAGTTTTGTTTGTTAATGCTGTCTTAGCAAAGAGGAATTTCAGATGTATATACTTCTTTTGGTGTATTCTTTGTATGTGTACATTAAATTTACTTCATCTTCAGAAGTCACTGCAATGCCAAAAAAAAACTTTTTAAACCGTCTGGATAGGACATATATGTCAAAAGTTATTATTGGAGAGAAAGCAACTGAATTGAAGTAATATTTACGGTTCGAGACTGATTTTAGTTTGCATCAATTCGTCAAATAGTCACTGTCAAAAGTAGCCACCATTTGAAGAATGTCGCACAGATAATACTCTCTAGAAAGACGTGTCGTTCATGGGACTAGACACTACAAAGATTACGTAAACAGCTGAGGAGTCTTTCTCCTTCCAAACAAATGGGAGACTGCAAAAAGGGTTACTATTAGTCTGACATTTTCCTTCGAATAGTGGCTACAGATGAAATCAAACTAAAATGGACCTCGCCCCGTACATATTGCTCTAATTAAATTATTTTTCATTTAAAGTGTATTTTGTGATATCTGTGGCCTATACCGACTGTTTGAAACTTTTTTCAATCCAATTTTGCTTTTAAATAAGGTAACTTAATTTTTTCCCAAGCATGTAGATTTTCTTTATGAAGCATACGTCGTTTTGTACTAGAAAAAGTGGGGCCATGTTAAGTTAATCGAGAATGACTTCTTGACCCGTGTGCTTAATGTAATATGAAAAAAAAAAAAAAAAAAAGTAAACTGATATAATGTTAATACTTCAAGGCTCAGTTAGACTCTCAGGACGCATTTCCTTTTGTATTTGCTAATCAAAGGTGTGAAATAAAATATGGATTTACATATTTGACCATGATTATGAAGTCTTTTACAGAAAACACAGCTGGTCTCATTTGAAGTGGGACCGCTTAAAGTAGTCCCACACCAAATGAGACCACTTCAAGTGGTCCCACATCAAGTGGGACCACTTGAAGTGGTCCCACTTGATGTGGGACCACTTGAAGCGGTCCCCCTTGAAGCAGTCCCACTTGAAGCGGTCCCATTTGAAGTGGTTCCACTTGCCAAGTGGTGCCTGTTCGATAAACCACTTCAAGTGGGACCTCTTCAAGTGGTTCCACTTGCAACATTTTCACCTGGGTGGTGACTCGCACCACCTAGTATCGGCAAGAGTAACTGTTTCTCCTCGTACTAGAGCAACACCACCTGACTAGAGTCACAAACTAAATACAATTGCCGCCGCTACTCTGCTCCACTAGTAACTGCGAGGAACTCTTTAGCCGCCCTACTTTAGCGTTGCTACCCTAAAGTGTAGCTTATTTAGTGGCTTTAGAGTGTACTAAAACAACGACAAGTCGCCGGTTTCGCACATGCTCTCGTGTGAAGCGCAGCGCGTGGAAAATTGGGCGGGTCGCATCGCGCCTAGGGGGTCGCGATGCCGCACTTGACTGCGCTCGTGGCTATGCCTGCCCGTGCCTGCCGCTTCTAGCGTAAGCGGGAGAGCATGGAATAAATTCCCCGACTCTGCAATCTTTTTAGAAATTTCCCTGACAATTCCCAGACTTTTCCAGGTGTCTTAAAATTCCCTGACAATTCCCGGTTGGTAGACACCCTGTTAATTAATGAACTGATTCCAGTAAAATAACCACATTACACATCAAACAGACTTTGAAAGTAAATGGAAGATGTTTCTTGGGAGCCAACACTGAAATATCTTTATATCTCCTTTCCATGTAGCCAATGCAAACGAAACCAACACAGAAGCATTAAATTATTGAACAGGGGAACCATAGTCAAGCATAATGCCAAGCAGAAAATGGGCTTTTCCCCAGCACTTGGTAGTTTCAAGCGGATCCAAAGTGCAAGGCTAGGAGTTGGTTTCTTCAAAGCAGGTCATACTTAATTTCCCAGGAATACAAGCTCAGCCAGGGACCTGATGCAAAAGCAACCCAGAAAGATTTGAGAAATAACCATACTTACATTTCAACTGTGGAATCAGTCAAAGGTTCCGGTACTGCCATCTTCACTAGTTCAGTTGGGCTCAGGGGCGGATCCAGACCTCCATTTTGGGGGGGGCGGTTCCTCGGCGTTAAACGGGGGGGGGGGGGGGGGGGGGAGTGTTTATATTTTTTGTGAAGTCATCGTTTTTACTAAACTCTGATAACATAATATAGATCTTGAGAGCTTTTGTATCGGTTTACCTGTCGGGGATGAACTCTTTGAACTTTCTGTGGCTATGCACACCAAAGCACACGCTCCCGTACTTTTGACTGCATAGCCTCAGAAAGCTGGGCATCTGGCCAACGCAATGTCTCTGCTCGTGCGGAAAATCACGTGCAATTGCAAGCCTACCAAAGCTCTATTCACGTGCACGCCACAAGTGCCTGCTCGTATGGGGCACCAGTCAGGACGCTACACACAATCAGGACGCTACACTGTAGCGTCCTGACTGTAAATTTGACCGTAAAATTTACGGTCTAATACCAGGCAGCTGATGCTGCCAAACTTGTACAGTAAAAATAACGGTGCACTGTAAATCTGGTTTACGATAAATTTAAACGGGGACCGTAGAAATCTACGGTCGGCCTTCAAATTTGCGGTAAAAAAAAAAAAAAAATTACAGCGCGCCGTTATTTTTACGGTGCAATTTAAACGGCGAGAAAGGTGGTAGTATTCAGGTTCATAACATCATTGTATAGTGATGTTATGAACTCAATGATGTTATGAGCCTCGGCTGAACCAAGCACGTTTTGAAGGCTTTCAGCAAGTTGGCCGAACATGTATTGTTTGTACAAGAAACGCCGACGTTGAAATTTATAAGTGGTTTTTTGAACTGTTGATATCGGCATAAGAAGCGTTCCGTTAAACTTCAGATAAAAAGAAAAAAGAAAAAACAAGGTCGTATTTTACGGTTTTCCTTTTTTCTCCTGCAGACAGAGACATTAACACGTCGTAGTTATCATTAGGGGATTGCATCACGTTAACAGCACCGTCTTCATTAGAATCCGCACTAGTGGACCGAGCCGAAGAGTCCTCAACTTGAAGCGGGCCTGCAGGCGATGCGCCGTCGCCCAAGAAACCCGTCACTCGTAAATGCGCGGGTCCATATCACAAGAGCGAATGACATTTTAGAGAACGGCGACATTTGAGCGAATGGTCGTTTTAGCGAATAACGGGGGCGCGCGTTAACCCATCCGTCGCGCTGCGCTTTACGCCGCTTCGCGGCGACAGTCTGCGGCAACTCATTACAAAAATATGAACTCATTTGGCCCACCCGAAAACGCCGCTTCGCGGCGTCCGAGTATTCGCTAAAGTGTCGTTCGATGAAACGTGGGCGTTCGCTAAAACGTCATTCGATCAAGTGAGTGCCTCCCGTGGCGAAGTGCACTGAAAGCTTTCCAAACTCCTCGAAACAAACCAAACTTCCCTTAGGCGTACCAATGCCTATGTCTTCTCAAAATATGACACCTGAGAGCATCCTACGTAACAAACTGGCGACAGCATCCTTCGTCCACACACTGAAGAATTCGAGAGCTGAAAACGTGCTCATCGAATTGCACAACCATCAAGCGTGCTTGAACAGAAACTACAAATTCTGCAAGTAAACATCTTTTAGAGTGTTGTATTTATGCCACCATTACACTATCCTTGCCAATCAAGCAGCAGGTTGATAGTGAAATACCTGCCTCGAGTATCCAGTTGCCTTCCGCTCCACATTTTCAGGTGCACAAAAATCCGGGAATGCCACAAACGAACGAGGACAAAATGGCGCGGAGACGGGTGGGAAGGCGGGAAAATGAACTGAACGTCAGCTTTTTCCACTTCTTTCCGCGTTGTCCCAACCAACGTTCCTTTCTTTTGTTTATGCTTCTAGCTCGTCGCATTGTTGCTCTACTGTTTGCTCTTAGTTCTCTTTTTTTTTCTTTTTTCAGTTAAGGCAGTTACGTTCTGCGTTGGCGCGGCTGGCGTGGACGAAGAAAGGAGGTGAAGGGGCGAGAGGAGACTCTCTGGGTTCCCGCAGCTTCCGAAAGGTCAAGCGTGGTGACCAATTAGCGAAGCGCGTCTTTTCTTTCTGTTTTCTTGCTCCATGAAGTTTTGCGTTTCTCTCTCGGTTTTTTTGCTCGTTTACGGTGCATTTCAGATAATTCCTCTTCACGGCGTACTTGTAGTTTTTATTAGCGTATAGCGCCGTGAATTTGACGGTTACTTTTTACAGTCTATGCCAGGGGTGGCCAGGCTGACCCGGCCTAAGAGCCGCAAACGAAACCACGAAACTTCCAAGAGCCGCGGGAAGGGGGGGGGGGGGGGGGGGTGCAAGTTTAAATTTTGTTTAGAGTGTGACTACGTAAGAGTGCACAAGGCAGAACGATAGTACAGCCTTGTGCACTTATACGCAATAAAGTAGCCAAACCGAGGGCCATACTGTATTCTGCCTGAAACCTCTTCTTTTTTTCCTGGGGAAACGCGGAAAGGGGCGGGGGGGGGGGGGGGGGGGGGGGGGGTCCCTTATACGAGGGATCCGCGAGCCGCACTTGGACCAGCAAAGAGCCGCATGCGGCTCGCGAGCCGCGGTTTGGCCACCCCTGGTCTATGCTTTCGAAGCTAAGCGCTTGTGAGCCCGAGCATGCTGGGCGCCGATAAAAGCTGCGCACAATGCCTGGTTACTACTACTGATATGTCAAAAAACACCTCGACCGCACGAACACTCGTGTGGGGGAAGCTCCAAAACTAATAGATCGCGTTTGTCCAAAGTGAAGTAGGGTAAGATGGGCCAAATGAGACGCGGGGCAAAATGCGACAGTTGGAGTGAAGGCACCCAACGAAAGTTTTTGTTTAGTGCCAGCTAACACCTAGACACAAGTTTCAAGCTTCACTGAGACGTGCCTTAGCCTGTTCACTTTGCGTGAGCCATAAATGACTGCCTTTGGCAAGTCCTTTCCGGAGAAAAAGAAATGCCGATTTGAGATTGCCGAGTTGACCGCCCGTCAAAGAGGTGCATAATTCCGCGCGAGATTTCGCTTCGAGAAGTACGCCCCGGTTGGCACGGACTTTCTACAAAGGTATAATTTAATTTCATTCCTAAGTTTTATTCGCTGCATGCAGACCAAATTTGAGTGTTCAGCGTGCTTTGTTTTACGGAAATAATTATTCACGTAACGGGATACGCGCGAGACAAAACGCGACAATGTGGCATTGTATGACGCGTGTGTCAATAATGTACCAGTTTCCTGGTTGTTCCTGAGTCATATTTTCCTCTCGGTGTCTAGGAGGATCAAAACGTACAAAAGAAAGACAACAGGGGCTTCATGGCGCATAAGTAACACTACGAATGCTCTTGAAAGTGAAGCAACAGCGTCACTCCCTTCGCGTTGCCGCCACACTTTTTGGCGTACCAAGGGATGTGCTTCAAAAGCGAGCAAAAAGACAAAAAATGGGAAAAGCAATGGCTCCGCAAAAAAAAAAAAAAAAAAAAAAAAATGGCGAGGCGTTTGGGGGGGGCGATCGCCCCCACCGCCCCCCCCTTGGATCCGCCACTGGTTGGGCTATGTCAATATGGCCTGCTGTAGACTCTTGCTGAACCAACCAGCTGAGGCAACTCACAATCTGAAAAAGGGAATGGTAATTGCCCGCTCCAGATGAGCAAAAAGAACAAGTTTGTGATTTGTTAGGAGAAAAACTTTTGAACCGAGATAATTCTGACGGTTACGTAATCCCAAATATGACACGCCCCGAAAGCAACCCTAAGAGCTCTTTGGTCACTCTAACCGTAAAAATCGCTTCGTCGAACTACATCCCGTGCAGCAAAAGCTGTTGCATCGCACTGACACAAAGGTATGAGATACTTTGCCTACGCAGATATCATCCCCCAAGACATTGCTCACCACAGCACCAAAAATCAAGAGGATATACACGTTTGCAAGTCCGGTCTCAGGGCGCCGCCATCTGTCTGTAACCAGTCTTCGGTTAATTCAACATGGTTAATATTTAAAATGAGAAAAAGAAAATGGTATATCACATGAATAGGCACGTTATTGTGTGCAAGTTTCATTAAGCCCATTTCTCAATTGGCTTTTGCACAACACAATCGTATTCGAACGGCCAGAAAAAAGAAGAGTGTTAGCAGAGCAACTTTCTAATAGTATAGCTGTATTTACACTTGTTTAAAAATGATTAAAATCTTTTTTGTAGCCCTTCAAGTCAGCTGCATGTTTTGATGTCCTTTTTCATGGACGGATACGAGTGAACCAATTTAATTGGGCGACGGCCTGCGCCACCAAGCCAAAGCTTCTATCTGAACAATTAACCAATTTTTAATTAAATTCGGAATAAATACAGAATAGTGAAGAATCCCCTATTGCTGCTAAACACAATCTCTATAGGTGAAAATTACAATCTGTGTGACGGTGGAGCCTGTGATGATGGGAACTGAAAGAAAGCAAGAAGCGCCAGAAAGCATACGCAGGGCGTGCGACAAAAGAGAACCACATAAGACCTAAAACAATGTGGAGTAAAAAAGTAAAGTAGTAATGTTTGGAATGGCTTCCATTGGAGGGTAATCGAAAAAAGCTTGCATTGAGAAGCATTTGAAAAGGGCTGCTGTCGAGCTCGATCGGCCAGCTCCATGTTTCCAAGCGAGGATTGACTGGGACAAAGTCCTGGGTCCCGGCCTGAGGCTCAACCGTTTTGCTGCACAACCCACAACTCAATGAAGATCTTCCAACAAGCTCATCTGCAATTGCAACCAAGAGGTTTCAAGAAACTGGGCAGAGCACTGAACGACAACAACCAGGGATTCTCTGCTCAATCTACTGTGACAGGTGTGAATCTGAATTTATTTAAAATTTTCATTGTTTTCCTCAGCTTTTTAGGACTTAGGATTTTGTATTTCTAGTTTTGCTTGAAAATACAATCTGGTTTCCAAAAAAAATTAGAAAAACTAACTAAAGTCTTATTGATTATTCATAAAGAATCTGGCAGTGCCTGTTTGCCCTACCTGAAAGAAAATAACAAAACTTCGTTCTTACCTCCGCTTATGCCACCAGTCCGATATCCTGTGTTTGGTTACCTCTGCTTTCCCTACGTCTATTTTTACGTCACTGCAGTGCCTTTAAATTCCCATGTCTTTATTAGAATGGTGCCACTTTGGGCAACTGCAGGGTGAAGCTCCTTACAATAATGTATTCAGTGTTCAGCTGTCTCTTTTCCACTCTACATACACTATAGCTATGTCCCAATCTTTTACTGCGTACACACAACACTCGGCCTCAAACAATGACCTCAACAATAATGAGGTTTCACACAAATACAACCTTTAGCACAACTGCTGAACTGTGATTATTTTATCTTGGTAAACAAGCACGTGAAGTGGTGTCGCCTAGGAGAATTGAGCAGCGAAACCCCGAGGATCCCAGGGGAGACAAGCAGTGCAGGATTTGCCCCATTCATGGCTCGCACGCGACGTCATTGCCCGTGCTTGTGACCGTTTTGGGTTTTACCTTGTTTTTCCTGCCGAGAAAAACAAATTCATTGGCACCAAATGTGTGCTATAGAAGGTATGCGTTAAGTCCCAAGGCCGGAGATGTGTTTTGGTATCTCAGTAGCAAAATACATTTACAATGTGTCGCTTGTATTGAGATACTTTGCCAGGCTTAGGTATCTCGTTACATTTGATTGCTCTATTTTACAATAAATTTAAAAAGATAAAAAAATCTGTTTGGTGCAAGGCGCTTCAGAATTTATACGAACCGGCCCTATAGACCGGCAATCTGTTTACAAACAAACCCACGTTTGCCCACACCAGGTGTGGGCACTGCGCGTGCGCGGAAACCGAATTTGCGTGAACTAAAGCGTCTGCGCATGCGCAGTGCCGTCGACAGCGCCACCGCAGCTGCATGACGTCAGGGACACATGTTGGTTTATAGGTAACCGGCAATGCAGTTCGCCACTACACGTTGTGCCATCTAGAAGCTGCAAAAGAAAACACTTGGTAGGCCAGGACGGCGCGGGTCGCGGGGACGGCGGGCGGGCGCATTTAGAAACCACGAGTGAATGTGCATTTCGGATTGGCGTGGACGTTTTTGGGAACCGTTTGTCGTAAAAGTAAGTCTCAACTTCACGTCTCCATGATCTCACCGGGTTCCTGTGACATCTTGTGTCACCCTTAGTGTGGTGAGATCAGGGCCCAGTATATAGGGCTCTGATCTCAGCACACTAAGGATGACACAGAAGCATATACCGTAAAATATTGGGCAAGCGCCCACTCACAATTTAGAGATAATCGCGAGGGATTGGGGGATGGGCGCTTGTCCGGTCATAAATTTTACATAACAATGTCTTGTGCATATTTTCTCAGATCTTACAAATTAGGGTATGGGCGCTTAATGTGGTATGGACGGATGCACGGTACTCTATGGTAAGACGACAGTCTGAGATGCGCCCTTGCGGTAAAACAGTGTCATTTTCGTGCAGATGCCTTTTGTCAAGCATGGCACGCAGTCTTCACCGTTCAGTAACTATATGCCTCCTGCACTGAAGCTCTGAATGTGCTGTGGCGCCCTTCGGTGGCAAGTGATAGAGTGTCCAAATAGTACAAGTCCCGTGGCCCTGCACAATAACAAACCTGTTCGGGCGGCTGTTTACCTCTGCTGAGGGCAGTTATTCGTGCGTTCGCATGGCCACGACTCAAAATGGGTCACTCGTAGTCGTCACCGTACAACGTTACCCCGGGGATGCGAAATCGCTGGAAGCTAGTACTTTTTCCTTTGTCCAAGCATGTCAAAACAGGGTACAACAAGCGTGGCCTCGATGAGTTCGAAACGTTGCCATCGATGGTACCTTTACGTCGTCAACTGTCGATAACAGGAAGGGCTTAACTCCGGCGTAAACTTCTAGAAATTCCCATCGAAACCACACAAATTCGAGTGGAGGGAACGATACTAGCCACCTAGCGCACTGAGTAAGCGAGACAATAGTTTTTCTCACCCTCCAGGTTATTCTGCTAAGCACGGTTACACAGTCAAGCGGCCGTGGCACGCATAGAAACGTGTGCCATGCGAATTTCACGAAGAGGAACACGCAATACTGCCCGGCCAGGGGAGCAATCCGATTGAACTACATCTTTTGCAAGGTGAGATCGTCAGTAAAAACGCCGGCTCCAGCGAGAGCTTTCCTTTGAAAAGACGAGCGTGCACGCACGGCAACGCACTACAGAGGGCAAGAAGCATGTGCTGAAAGTGGAGCTCCTACTGCTGATCTTATGTTGCATCAAGCTTACAGTGCAAGAAAAACTGCAAGAGCTCGAGAAGCAGCGTGCGGTAAGAACGATCTGCTCGGCCGACAGACCGCCGGTCGCCGCTCCATCGCTTGCGTCTGCTTTTGCGAATTCTTTAGGTTTTGTAAAAGCTTGGTCTGCTGGGCAAGTTGGTAGTGGACATTCATATTAAAAATAGCGCAAAAGAGACGGGACAAAAAGACGAAGAAGCACACAGGACAAATGCTACGTTTGTCCTGTGTGCTTCTTCGTCTTTTTGTCCCGTCTCTTTTGCGCTGTGAGGGTACGGATGACAGAGGCAGAGTTAAACGTTACTTAAAGGGTTTAATAACGATGGCAAATTCATACGGCGGTTATGGCGGGAACATCGCATGGCGGGAGCGTCGTCTAGCGTTCCCCTGGTTGGGCCAGGCTTGGCTTTGTGAACAACAAGATGTCGGCAGGTGGCGCTAGTAATGAGCCTGCTCACATCCGACTCCCTCTTAATAGGACCAAGGCCCTTTGGTCCCGAAGCTTTCATTCAGAAAGGTCGTAATCTGTCAAATAGTTGGGCAGGCGTCGCACTCGTTGGGTCCTCGAGCTTGGACCGGGGGTTGGAAGTTCTGTGTTGACACTAGGCGTTGGTCCGGTTGTTACGGGTTCTGCTTCGGCACTGGCTGTTGGTCCGGTTGTCACAGGGTCTGGTTCGGCACAGGCTGTCGGTGCGTGTCGCAGATGGGCAAGGAGGGTAGGGTCAACGTATGGAGGACGGAATACTTTGAGCTGGCTGGAGTGCGCAACTCTCTCGTCTCTTGATGAATTGTCGGCTGGATTAGTTATACGGCGAATCTCATAGGTGACTGGAGTCTTCTGTGCGATGATTTGATAAGGTCCCTTGTGCGTTGGAGCAAGTTTTGTAGTGCCATCTGTGATTGGTTCTTGACGTCGAAGCCATACATGCTGGCCTGGTGTAAAGGTGACATGGCGATGGCTCTCGTCATAGCGACGTTTCCGTCGTTGCTGAGCTTGCTCAGAATTCTGTTGCGCTTCACTGCGGCGTTCTGAAAGGTCTAGAAGTCTTGCTTCTAGGGTGGTGGTTCCAAGGCGTCGGAACTTCTCCATGGGCAGTTTGGGCACATATCCGTGCAGCAACTCAAAAGGGGAAAACTGTAAAGTTGCATTGACGGCTGTGTTCACAGCGAAGGCTGCGGCGCTTAGTTTCTCTTCCCAACGTGATGGCTCTGCGTTGCACATCTTTCTCAGCACCGAGACGAGCGTTCCGTTACTTCTCTCAACAAGCCCATTGCTTGCCACACGGGATCGAAGCTGCTCGAAGAGTGCTTGCATGGCTTTTTGAAATTTAGCTGGGCACTTTTGAGTCTAAGAGGCATTCTTGTCCACTGGAACATGCCGCGATGCGTAATGAAAGACGTCTTGAGCTGGTCTTCCGGGCGCACTCTTATTTGCCAGTAGGCAAACCTCAGGTCAAGGCGGGCGAACAGCGAGCAACCTGCTATGTCGTCCATAATGTCCTCGGCACGGGGAAGCGGCTGAGCGCCACTGACTGTCTGCTTGTTAAGTGGGATGTAGTTTACACACAGTCGTTTCTTGCTTCCACGAGAAACAATGACAATGGGGAAGGCCCAAGGGCTAGAAGACGGCACTATGATGCCCTTCCTCAGGAGCTCATCAGTTTGCTGCTCAATAAACTGTCGGTCATCAGCAGCATACCGATACGGTTGCCGACTGTAGGGTACAGCGTCTGAAACGAGGTCAATGGCGTGCTGTGCTCCTTCATAGAGTCCCAAGTCGTTGTCGTCTGTAGCAAAGAGAGCAATGTGTCGCTGCAGGACATTTTGAATCGCAGTAGACTCTTCTGGCTGTAGCTCTGTGCCAATTTGGGCTTCGCTTAGAATAGAACTTGTCTTGTTTCTCTCGAAACTGTTCGGGCTACATGTTTTTGGAGAATCACGCTCTGGCTGGGGCGACTTTTCATGGCATGCCAGAGCCAGCCACAAGGGCTGGTTGTCATCTGGGAGAGGCTCAAGTTGGAGACCACCTGTCGAAGGGATTGTCGGTGCAAACGGGGAAGAAGTCAGGGTGTGGAGAAGGACAGCGTTCGACATCCTCGGCAACACCTTCTCCTGGCACAACAAGACGGCACCTGAGCTGGGGTGGCGAATTTCAGTTGGATTAGGCGGCCTCACAACAAGTTCTGCATGTGCTGCTTCGAACCAGTCCTCTCCGAGGATCAGAGGCAGGGGGTTGCGCGCAAGTACCATCACCTCCACGACGGCAGAGATGGGACCAACGGAGATGCGAGTGCACAGAGTACCAGTTGGTACAACTGTGCTGCCACCAACGACAGCAATGGGTGGCTTTGTCCATGGCAGCAAGCTCAGGGTTCCGATAAGCTCTTGCGACAGTATGGTCAACTTAGACCCACTGTCAGGGAAAGCGTCAACCTTGCCGATTGTTGGGACATCGGCTTGGACTACAGCACACTGGACCATTGAGCCCTCAAGTGGCTCAGAGTTCTGGAGGCAGGACATGGCAGGGGCATTGGTCTTGAAGCTGGCTGGCTGCTGATTACGTGGGGTCCTTGCAGCGGTGCACTTGGCGGAGAGGTGACCCAGCTGCCGGCAATTGTAGCACACAGCCTTGCTCAAATCTTGGCCGGGGCGATGGGCGGGAGCTCCGTGTTTTGATGTGATGGCAAGGTATCGTGCCTCCTGCTGTTCTTGTGAAAGAGACGAAATGCGCTGTGGTATGGCAGACACACGTTCAGCTCGATTTGAAGATTGAGTAGAGGAAGGCGTTGCGTGTGGTTTGGCAACTGGTGGCCTTGCACTTTCAGCCTCCGTGCGGTTTGACCTTAGACGAGAATGGCTTAAAGTCTGGTCGAGTCGTGTTACAATGTCCATGTATGCAGGGACCGTCGCAGGACACTGCGCTGTGATGGATGTCGCTAGATGTTCGTCATTGATGCCTTGAACAGCATACTCTATGCGCTGAGCATCAGTCAGCACAACGGGGCATTTCGAGATGAGTTTTAGTTTTGCCAGGGAATAGTTGACGAGGCTCTCTGCAGGCGACTGCACCAGAGCGGTGACCTTGTGCTGCCACTGCAGAAGCGTAAGGCGATCACCGAACTGCGCCTGGAAGGCGGCCTTAAAGCTGTCCCAAGTTAGGCACTGGCGTCCAGAAACAGCTTTCCAGTTAGCGGCTGGGCCTCGAAGCTTGCCGAGAGCGACTGCGAGAAGTGTCGAGGGCTCCCAGGAAGCCAGTCCTTGTGTTCGCTCCAGCTCCTCGATCCAATGGCGGGCCGAAATACCTCCATCGCCGCTAAAAGTTGGAAGCGACGCGGACAAGTCCGGCAGGGTAGTCACCTGCACAGGGGCTGGTGCACGTTGAGACACGGTCAGGAACTGCTGCAGCAAGCTTGTCAGTAGCTGCGTGGACTGCGCCGGGTCAAGGGTCGGGAGAGGCGATGACTCTTGCGGGCCTTCTGCGGAGGCCGCCGAGTCGGGAAGAGGCAGGGTCGATGGCGGTGGCGGGGGGCTTCGGGCGATGTCGTCCAGGAGGCGGTGGATGATTTCCTCTTTGGATCCGGCGACGTCAAGTTTGCGACGAGACAACTCGTCGCGAAGGTATTCCGCCGTAAAACCGGCGAGGTCGCTTGGCGTGGCTTCGGCCCAATTGACAAGAGGCATGGCGGGCGGGCGGGCGAGCGGGCGAAACAAAAGATGCGACTGGTTCTTCAGGCGAGTTAGGCAGGCGGTGCGGGCGGGCGAGTGGCATCCAGGCTCCTTGACATGTCGACTGCGCCAAATGTGAGGGTACGGATGACAGAGGCAGAGTTAAACGTTACTTAAAGGGTTTAATAACGATGGCAAATTCATACGGCGGTTATGGCGGGAACATCGCATGGCGGGAGCGTCGTCTAGCGTTCCCCTGGTTGGGCCAGGCTTGGCTTTGTGAACAACAAGATGTCGGCAGGTGGCGCTAGTAATGAGCCTGCTCACAGCGCTATTTTTAATATGAATGTTCTTTAGGTTGGTCATCAGCTGACCGCGTTGGCTGTACGGAGGGACTGTAGTGTAAGAGTTTTTCCTTACAAGCAGTGGTGTCACGAAGGTAAGCTGCACCCAGGGCGGTAGCCCGTCTCAACCCCCCTCCCTCCCTCCCCCCCCCAGCTTTCGGGTGGCCCGCTGCGACTCCCCTCCCCTCCCCCCCCCCCCCCCCCCCCCCCCCCCGCTCTCGTGGCCCGTGCCCGCCGCGACACCCCCCTGAGCCCTGCTTCCTACACCGTGGCCCTGCTGCACCCGGGGCGGTCCGCCGCCGCCCCCCCTCGTGACGCCATTGCTTACAAGGCGCGTTAACGTAACTCGCAATGCTCACCTCACAGTTGCACAAAAGACAAATGTATCTCAGTATCTCTATTCTGGTCCTTGAAATACATGTATATCTCAGTATTTGTATTCCCGACTATACTTTTTTGGAGCATTTCTGCCCGGCCCTGGCAAGCAATGTATAGTTTCGGAATCTCTAACAGGAGAAAGGCGGCTTCGAAATCGATGCTTACGGATGGCCTAGTTTCCCGATATCGGCTGACAGAAAAAGAATCGAAGAAATTAAAAAAAACGATAAATCGAGAGGAAAGAACACCGTAAAGTACCAGCCAAGCCGAAGTCTCAGGACGAAAACCTCACCTCGACACGACGACTTCGTTGCACTCGCACCGTTGTTTTGTTGAAGCCCCGACAGGCCCGACAGCCTCGATCGAGACCTATGCGGAGATATGCTACGTGCTGAGGAGCCCCAGCTGCCGCCCCAGCTGCGCCGCTGTACAATGTGTACTTTCGGACCCGTTGCGGTCTCAGGTGCCACACAGGCGCCACAGGTCTTCGAACCACAGTGCCACAGTGCGACAGTGCTTCGAACTTCCAACAAACTACAGGACGATGGCCGATACTAACATAGGTGTCGCAAGCTACCGCCCAATACAAGGCTAAACGTATATTTGGTCATTTATCTATTGCATTTTGAGCAGCGTGGCGTTGGCAGCGTTGGCCACCATAGCGTTGGGGCGTTGGTGGCGTCTTTTGGAGCGACTCGAAATTTTTCAGTGTCGCTAGGGGCAGCGAAGAAGTATGCCGCCACCTCGGTGAGCCGCGCAAGCCGGACGAATGCAAGCTACTAGTCCAAGTCCAAAATAGGTATGCCCGGCGGATTAGTTGAGATTTTTGGTTATGGTTTGGGGTCAAATAGCGGCCCATTTTGTAGGAAGCTTTCGGGTGATCATAAAAATGGGGCAGGAGCCGTTCGCCATGGGGTGGCGATGGAACAATGAACAGTTAGGCTTAGGCAACGTTGAGCCTACGTTCCTACGATTTCCTCGAAGAAGTTGAACCGGACTGGTCCGCGATTTTGCTTTTATTCCTTCGTCCTTTTATTACGGCCATGTTAGAACATACATTTCGTAGCACGACAGGTTGTTATTTGTAATGAGGTTTTCGTTTATCTTCTTTTTTGAATCTTAGTTCTTCCTCTACGTTAGCGTTGCTAGCTTTTGATGGAGCGGTAGTGCGCAGTTGGTTGCCACGGTAGTAAATTTTAGAACTGCGGTGGCCGCTTTCGTCGCCCGCGATATTTATTGAGGCTGTTCAAGCTGGGCATTGTCCAAGGTTCGAGGGGAGCCTGGGCTGAGCATTATGTCTCAGCCGGCTCTTCGCCAGCGTTGCGAAATAGTACCGCCATGTTCAATTGTTGCGGGAGGGAGCATCCGCCATGTTGATCCAAACGGTGCGGGAGGGCGTCGTCGCCATTTTGATACGTTGAACAGGAGTCGCCATCTTGGCGCGTCGCGCTCTTTTGGCTCCGGAACGCTAGTCTAAATTTTCGTACGGGTTTGCCTGCTCTAGGGTTGGAGGTATTGATTTGCCCAGGTGATTGCTATTTCTTGAGGGTTGAGACGCCTGTTTTCGGAGTTTCCCGCGTCACTGATGAGTACGCTTGTTTGCGCAGTTCCGTCGCGGCTGCACAACAAGACGGGGTCAAGATGGGGTCCCAGCAGTTCTGCCTCAAGTGGAACAACCACCAGTCGAACATGCTGGTCGTGTTCGAGCAGCTGCTCTCCAACGAGGCGCTGGTGGACGTGACGCTGGCCTGCGAAGGCCACTCGCTCAAGGCGCACAGGATGGTGCTGTCTGCCTGCAGTCCCTTCTTCCAGGCTCTGTTCGTGGAGAATCCTTGCAAGCACCCGATCGTGATCATGAAGGACATGCGCTACATGGACCTCAAGGCCATCGTGGAGTTCATGTACAAGGGCGAGGTGAATGTCTCGCAGGACCAGCTGTCGGCGCTACTCAAGACGGCCGAAGCGCTGAAGGTGAAGGGCCTCGCCGAGGTGACGGGTGATAACAGGCACGGCCTGGTGAGCGTGGACGGTGCCGACTCGAGGACTATAAGCACGGCGCGCGCAGACTCTCCGACAATGTCCAAACGAAAGAGGGGACGACCACGAAGACGCTCTCGCAGTGACTCCAACAAGAGCGACTCTGAGGACCAGGGCGCACCACCGGCGACCCGCATTAAGACACCGGAGTCTCCCGAGGTCATCGAGGACGGCAGCTTGTCGAGCGACCGCGTGACGGCCGTGGCTGCAGAGTCACCTGCGGCGGCGCGAACCTCGTCGGGAGCTGTTTTGACGGCGGTGTCTTCGTCGTCCGCGATGGTGGTGTCCAGTAACAAAGTGGTGGAGGGACTACGTGCGTCTGCGCTGGCGGCCAACAACTCGATGTCGTCGCAGCATACGATAGATTCAGTGGGGGACGACACGGGGGCGGATGGGGACGACGTGGACTTTGAGCCGTCGAACCTCATGGAACAGTCGATGACCACGGACAACGTACGTAGCGTTCACTCAGCCGTAAGCGTGCGTGCACTGTTGCGTGTGCTAATTTTTTTTTTTTTTTTGGCTGTGCAGGTACCGGTGTTCGCGGACGTCGCATCATCATCATCACAAGCGGCGGCGCTAGCGTCGGAATCTCAACAGTCCCATCACAAAGCGTCTACATCAGACATCCCTGCACTAGTTCATGTTCCCGCCTCATTGCCTTCAGACATTTCAATCTCCAGTCAACGTATGTTGTGCTTTTAAGGATCACCCTTGTGGTCCCAGTTTGCTCGAGTTTTACAGACAGTCTCTCGCTTATTTTGCCCGCAGTCGACATCAAGCCATCTCCGTCTAGCTTAGTACCTCCATTTGAAGAGCAGGCCATCGTCCCCGTGGTTCCCCCGCAAGCGGCAGGCTCTGCGGACGGTTCGTCGAGCGCCATGATGATGGCATTTACCGACATGTCGGGCGTGCCGGCCATCGCAGGGCCCTCGAACTACCACCCGGACAACCAGCAGCCTACGCCTTCCCACGGTACGTATTTTGCCCACCCTCCCCCTCCCCTCGAAACTCCCACTCCCTTCCTAAAGGCCACCCGATTCCTCCCCGCAATATCGTGACGCCTAATGTGCGGCATCGTTTGCGGCGACGAGCGGTGTGGGCCGCATTTTGCCACTGCTGCGAAGCGTCCTGGCCCATTTGGGTGTGCCTGCTCGTAATCGGCAACAGCACTACCTCGCAGCGGTGGCTTATGCTCCCATTTGCTAAGGTTTCATTCAGGATGTTCTAAATGCTTTAGGGAACTGAATAGGGTTTTACTGAGTTTGTGTGCCTTACACATGTCTGTACAACCACCATTGTATTACACGAAAAGTAAAGGACTTTGCTCGCTTGTCCCCTATTTTTTGTGTCTGGTGTGTTGTGCGAGTTACTCGTCGGCGCTTCGCGTTGTCAAGACGTCGCAAGTGGTCCTGGGTGCTTGCCGGCGAAGACTGCTGCGGCCTTTTTCGCGTGTTGCGTCACGGTCGGAGGTTTCGCGCCTGTCTGGACTTCGAGGCGACTTCTCTGCGAGCCTGGGTCTACTCCAACCTCGTCTGCTGGTGCGGTTCGACTCCAAGCACTGGCTTCGTCTGCTAGCGCGGGCTCGACTCCAACCGATCGCGTTGCGTACCGCGTTGTCGGCAGCACCCGAAGATTTCGTCCGGTGGTGAGTATGCATTGCTTGTCACTCTTTACCTCGTAGCTTGGCACTCCCTTTTTTTTTTTTTTTTTTTTTTTTTTTTAGTTTATGTTTGTAAGCGATTTCCTTATGGTTTTAGTTGGGCAATGTCTCGGTTTCTTTCTGTACTAAACTTTGCTGTAACCTGTATGAATTAAAAGTTGTGCCTTATGCTTTGTCTTTTGCAAGTTCCCTCTGTATGAATGGTGACATGGTGCAAGCGAATTGCTTGAGACGGGTGCTTGTGTTTGCAGTTGGGTGACTGATGTGTGGCTGGGGGACAGACACTACCTACGGTCGCTTGCTCCAAATCCACGACGCTACACACATTGGGGTCACACTTGGTACATTGGGCAAGGAGATACGGGGTCACTCTGGTAACCTGCTACACAACATGCGCCGTATGTAAGGGGTCACTCAAGGGTAAAACACTCCATGAGGGTTGGTGGGTGGTGCCTAACGCTTTGGGGATGGGTGCTCCGATGCTGGGGTTGGGTCTCTGCAGCGGCAGTTGCGGCTTGCTGCCGTCTTGGAATCCTGTCCAGTGTACCTGTGGTCCTGCTTGATTTGGTGAGATTTCGTCACTTGTGTTGTTGTTTGTGTCTTCCCCTTTTTTCTTTTTGTTGACGGATCCTTGTCGTGTTGCAGGGGATTCGTGGCCGCCAGCAGTGAAGCGGGCTGTCCTCGATCCAGTCTTTTGAAGCTTACTGTGAAGACTACTAAATCTAGCTCCATTTTAATCTTAGTGCAGTGGAATTTAAGATAAGTAGAGCCCTTTGGGCATAAATTTGGTTTTTGCATTTGTATAATTGTAGCTAGCTTAAACATGGATGCCAGTGTGCTGTTAGAACCTGGTTATGTAATAAACTGTTTTTCACTTTACAACTTAGTTTGCCCCTCTATTGGTCCAACGATGCTTGCACCGTTGCTCGTCGAAGGTTTGCCTTGCATGCATTGCAGGTTTAATTTTAGCAAACGAGCTGTGCAGCATGACTGCCAACGTGAGGTGTGCACTAAATCCAAAATTTACCACGCTCCAGATACTTGTCAAACCCGATGAAAGGCAGATGAAGGTATTACATTCACTGGGACTACAACTCTTGTTTTCTAAACATACACGTGGAAGCAGATGCCGTACTTCACTTGCTTTACTCCGATTTTCACGTTCAAAGTGATTTTCGGACATTTTTTTTTATTGTCTGGGCTCGTTCCCGGTAGCAGACTCCTCTGATGTATGTGCGGAGTCCGCACATACATCATACAAAGAGACCGGCCAATCTGACAGTTTTCCCTATTTTTGTTTTTTATTTGCACGCAGGTAACAGTGCAATTGGACCCTGTGAGTATTTTTATCTAGCATAGTATTACACGATAACTGGCATGCCAAAATTTGCGCATCTGAGCTTGAAAGTTCCAAAATGACGCGATTTTAAACATTTGCACGCCAGCAGGACGCTATACTGTGTCATCTTAGTATGGACCAGGGTGTAAGATAGACAGGTGGTGAAACGAGAGCTAAATGAGCGACCGGATTGTGTCCCCCTCGGTTGGATGGATGGATGGATGAATACGGCTGAGCCCTTTGGATCGGGCGGTAGCTTACGCCACCTAGCCATTTTCTTTTACCATTTAAGCTTAGAATATTTAAATGGGAAATCTATATTCACTCCGCAGTGCAAAGAAAGTGAGGCTATGAAACCCCCTTGCCATCAGTGAATAAGAAAATACCTAGTTTTCTCTCGATTTCTGCCACCATTCACTTAATCTTTGCTTGGTAATCTCTACAGTCTTGAAATCCACTCTCCCTTCGCTGTCTCTAAAACCCAATGACTTTATTAAATCTATGTTGTCTTCGGTAGGCATAGGGTGAAGCCCTTTACAGTAGAGTATCAAGTGCTCAGCCGTCTCGTCCTCCTCTCCACAAGCAGTGCACACTGTATCAATTTCCTGGTACTTCACTCTGTATGTTCTGGTTCGCAGAACACCCGTTCTTGCCTCAAACAGCAATGAGCTTCCCCTAGAATTGTCATAAATGCTTTCTTTGGCAATAACTCTTTTGTTTAATCTATAGCTTTCCAGAGCCGTCTTTGCCTGCATTCCCTCTAGCCACCGATCTCTTTCTGTGGCCTTAACTTTCTTCTTAACTGAGACTTGCTCTTCCGTATCTTCGCTATAGCCCAAAAACTTTCCTCTTAATTTCCTAGTGCGCTGTCTCCACTTGGTGTCTACACTCCTCATGTATAAATAGCTGAAAACCTTTCGTGCCCATTGCTCCCCGTCCATTAGCCTCAACCTATCCTCAAATTCTACCTTGCTCACCGCTTCCCTGCTCTCAAATGATGCCCATCCCATGTCTCCTTGTACTCCCTGGTTTGGCGTTTTGCAATGTGCCCCCAAAGCCAGTCTACCTACTCCGCGCTGTTTTATTTCTAGTTTCGCATGCACTTCGGATTTCATGCATAGCACTGCGTTTCCAAAAGTCAAGCCAGGCACCATGACCCCTTTCCAAATCTCTCTCACCACCTCATACCTGTTGTAATTCCAAAGTGCTCTATTTTTCATTACAGCTGCATTTCTGTTGCCCTTACCTATTATATACTTTTCATGATCTCTGAGATATTCTGCACCATCACATATCCATACTCCTAGATACTTGTATTTACTAGCTCTCTCAACTGTAATATTCTGTATCTTCAGCCTCTCAACTTCATCCTCGTTAAAAATCATGACTGCCGATTTTTCGCTACTGAATTCTAAACCTAATTCCTCTCCTTCCCTACCACAGATGCTCATTAATTCCTGCAACTCTGTCCTGTTGTTAGCCATTAGTACAATATCATCCGCATACATCAATCCCGGTAAGGATTGCTGAATTTTTTGGCCTAGCTTACTGTAAGAAAGGTTGAACCCAAGCCCACTCTTCTCTAGTCTATCCTCCAATCCTCTCAGATACAACATAAACAGCAAAGGCGATAACGGGCACCCCTGCCTAAGGCCTCGTCTTATCTCTATTTTCCCTGTCGCCTTTCCTTCCCATGTTATAATCACCTTGTTATCTTTGTAAATGTTCCTTAATAGTGCTGTTAGTCCTTCATCTAGGTTTAAGTTCTCCATTATGTCCCACAGGTTTCTTTGGTTCACATTGTCATAGGCACCCTTGATATCCAGAAATGCCAGCCAGAGCTGTCTGTTTTCTTTTTGCGCTATTTCTATACACTGTGTTAGAGAAAATAAGTTGTCCTCCAACCTTCTTTGTTTTCGAAACCCGTTCTGTAACTCGCCCAGTATGCCCTCGCAATCTACCCATTCCTCCAGTCTGTTCTTTATAATCTGCATTACCAACCTGTAAATAACCGGTGTCACGGTTATAGGACGATAATTCCTAATATCAGACTTATCTCCCTTTCCCTTATATATCATACTCATCCTACTAAGCCTCCATTCATCTGGAATATTTCCTTTTGTTATCATGGTACTCACTACCTCCCTTAGTTTTGCCTTAGATTTAGGACCCAAATTCTTCACCAGCTTAATAGGGATACCATCTGTGCCTGTCGACGTGCCACTAGGGACTCTTCGTTCCGCCTTTTCCCATTCTCTTTGTCCAAAATCCGCGATGTCACAAACTGGACTGCTACTTCCTTCGGTTCTCCTATCTTCCACATGTACCCGTTCCCGAAATTTCTCCTCCATCACTGCTCCTATATATTGTATCGCATCATCTCCCTCTAATTGATCTCCCTGATGCGAGAGTATGAACCTCTGTCTAGCTTGCGTCGTTTCACCGAGTGAGTTCAAGTGCTCCCAAAACTTCTTGGCAGCGTTTCTATCTTTCTTACTTACATTACTCATCCATTCCTCACCCTTTTTCTGAATTTTCGCATTGATCAAACTGGATGCCTCTCGGCGACATGTTATAAAATTGTCCCATTTTCTTTTTACTTCGGTTTTCTCTTTCTGTGGCGCCATCTATGTGAAGCACCGCGAACTTTCACTACGGGTGGGCGAACGGTGGCGACCGGTTAAACTGACGGAGAAGGTTTCTCGTGGATTTTCAATGGAGGACTGTCGTGCTCTCAGTTTATTTTGCGCACTCTCCCATAAAGTTCCAGGCAAATTCGATTCCAATTTTTTTCTTCTCGCCGCAGCGCCATCTGTCGCAAATCGGGGGTACCCGCAAGCCCTTGTCCCGATGAATGCAAAGGTCGCTTTCTTAAAGTGGGATCGGAGACAAGTGGGAATCCATTGAAGCGGAACAAGGAGCGTTTCCAGCGAACTCTTCTTTCGACTGCGGAGAAATTTGAAACGGGCGCATCACGCTTGTGGGAGGAGTTTCTCCTACCTTCTTGACTTGTAACCGACTATAGTATTCTAGTACACTGTAGTATAGCTACAGCCCACTCGGCGGAGCGGATGGCTTGCGGGGGAGAGGGGGAGTGCATTTTTTTCTGTTTTACCCTCTCTGCTATGACCCTAATGGAACGGTCTAGACCGTTCCATTAGGGTCATAGCAGGGAAGGTAAAAGAAAAAAAAATGCAGTCCCCCTCTCACCCAGGATATCGTCCGCTCCGCCGAGTGGGCTGTAGCTAGCGTCCGGCTGGCGTGCAAACTCTGTTTGAAATCGCGTCATTTTGGAACTTTCAAGCGCAGATGCGCAGATTATGGTGTTCCAGTTCTCGTTTAATATTATGCTAGATAAAAAGACACACATGGTCCAATTGCGCTGTTACCTGCGTGCAAATAAAAAGAAATAGGGAAAACTGTGTCAGATTGGCCGGGCTTCTTGGCGAAAAGTAAATCCGGTTGCTGTACCTTTTTTACTATACAAAGTTCGTACTGGTGTAGGCCTTTAGCGACCGTGAGTGGAAGTCTGAAATAATAAATAAAACGTGCTCTCCTGCCGCAATACACTCAGTAGTTGAGGGTAGTACTGCCGGCTTACTCAACTGCTATTTAAGTAACGGAAAAAAGATATGTCAGTTGATCATTTAGAAAAATTGAACAACAGAGAGCTATAGACCTTTTCCACAGGGGCGCCGCCATCTTGAATTGTCGTCACTTCCAGTATGGGCGACGACAAAATAGTAAAACGTTTCAACCTGTAACCAGTAAAAAAATAGAGCGGAGCCAAAACGAGAATGTGTGACGGTTAGGCTTATATCCTAAATGTGTTCTATTGGCGTGGCGACGGCAAAGTAATGTTTTCGCCCATACTGGAAGTGACGACAATTCAAGATGGCGGCGCCCTTGTGGAAAAGGTCTATAGGCTGATTTTGGCGTAGCCACAACTATTCTAAAAACGCGAACCACTTCACAACGGCAGCCACGAGCGAGAGTTCGGTGTTCGGTAGAGCCCGCCGATAGAGCCCAAAGATGGAGAAGGGCAACCTCCCGGTTTGTCGTCTGCTAGCGGAGTCGGGCGCGTGCCCTTTCTCTCGTTTTACCCCGCCGAACCCGCTAAACTTCCCGGATGTGTGGAGACGGCGCTGCGGTCGAACAAAACGCTACCGCCCAGAGAGCGCTAAATGGAATATGGCCAAACTCTCTACATATACGGCTCTGCCCCCCCCCCCCCCCCCCCCCTATGCCCCCTCCCCCCCCACTCACTTCAATCCGCCGATGGATGGATGGATGAATCCGGCTGAGCCCTTTGGATCGGGCGGTAGCTTACGCCACCTAGCCATTTTGTTTTACCATTTAAGCTTAGAATATTTAAATATGAAATCTAGATTCGCCCCGCATTGCAAAGAAAGTGAGGCTATAAAACCCCCTTGCCATCAGTTAATAAGACAATACCTAGTTTTCTCTCGATTTCTGCCACCATTCACTTAATCTTTGTTTGGTAACCTTTACAGTCTTGAAATCCACTCTCCATTCGCTG